ATTTTTGGCTTTCCAACGGTTATGATATCGCGCTCATTCGATAAAATCCGGAAGTGATATGAATTTTCGGAAGAAAAAATTACCTCTAGCTATTCCAGCTAAAATCGTTGTTTTATTGTTATTCAAATATGTATCTGAGGGTTTTAAATGGTACTTAAACCTAATTTGAATTTTTTCAAAACCGAAATTTTTTGGCTTAAGTTACGGAATAATTTAACCTTTATAATAAAACGGTTTGGAAGGAAGAAAGAGTATTAATTATCTCCTGCGAAAGAATCGTACTAAGGTCCTAATTCTTAAAAAAGGATCACTACTCATTTTATTGGTCGGACAATCGCGATGGGAGAATTCGATAAATAATTATTGACCAATTGACTTAATGTTCTAAATAAGAAAATATATTTTCATTCTTCTCTCATTTTATCTTGTTATTTCAATATTTATATTTTCTTAAAACGGAAGAGATAACATAGTAAGATAGTAAGAAACTAATTCCAAAAAAATTCCATTATAAACTTTTTATAACTTTATATGATTACATTATTTTACATTTTAGATATATCAAAATTAATATGAATTTTTTAAAATGATTATGACGGGAAAAATCCTATGGCTTGTCTCAAGGATTTCAGACAGTGTATTGTATTGCATATACAATAAGTATATTGAACAATAAATTGATCAAAGATTTCGGCTATTTAGTTAAATGATTTTACAGATTTTATAGTTAAAAAGCAATTCTAAAGCAACTAACTAAAAAGCAACTTCTAACATAATACGATATCATCAATTCTATTCTAACCAAAATTAAAAACTAAAAAATTAACTCCGTACTATTTTTTTGCGTCCCTAAGTCAAGATAAAGAAAAGAAAAATGGCAAAAAGGAGGGAAAACTCATAAGGTGGGGTTGAGATAGGAAGTTGATGTCCGAGTGGATCGAGGTCACGATAGCTCAAGTGGTAGAGCAGCGGCGTATCTAGCCGAACATCGTGGGTTCGAATCCCGCTCGTGCCATTAACATTTTTTCATCTCAACTAAAAACCTTAATTAATTGTAATAAAGAAAAGATTTTTTTTCGTCATGCAAAATTTGACAAATATAAGAAGAAATGTGGCAATTCCAGTTTAAGATGGGAATCCACAGGTCCATACAAAAAGAGTACAAAACGGTTCCTACTGGTCTGGAAGAAGATAACGTCTCAAAAATAGGCACACGTTGTTATTTATTAGCTAAAGAAGGGAAAAATACAAGCGTCGTACACCCTCACAAATGATTCTAATCGGGCATCAGAATTGGCCTTTTGACCGACAATAAAAAAGAAAATTGTTATATTATTTGTTAGTTAATGCATTGTGATTGGTGAGCCTGGTAACACGTTTAGGAATTTTTCGCCTAAATGAAATAATATAGCGCATAGTTAAATAGTTAAAAAAGTTAACTGTTCACCTATTTACTGTAAAAAAGATAACCATAGAAAAATCAAGTCGAACTTTGTCTTTTAAAGAATGGATTTAGTTTTATATTTGCAACAATAACTAATAACAGTAATACTGAATTGTGATAAAATTGTGTTAACTGTGATGTAGAATTGCTAATTATAAATGAAAAAAAATCTCAATTCGGTATTTTCGGAATGAACAGTCGGGTGTTTATTTGTCATGTTTTTACGCGACAGTTGAGTTGGGTCGACGAAAAATTTTTAATGTTTAAGATTGTTTTTGGTTTGTACTTGTCATAATAAATTGTTCACATAGTAGGTTTAGGAAAATTCAAAAAGCTTTTACTTCCAGCAGATATTAAAATTTTTAAAACTCTTTGAAAAGCTGGAACGAAAAGCTTTTTGTAAGTACCTAAGCAATATATATAATAAGGTTTCATCTCAAAAAGGTGCAAATTTTAAAAGAAATTACTTAATCTTTGTATGCAAGGTATTGGTTGAAATGAAAAAGTTAGTGTCATCGGTGGGATTCGAACCCACGACCTTCGGCTAAATACGCCGCTGCTGTAACCACGTGTCACGATCGCCCAAGTGGTTAACTAACCTTACATAAAAAGATTAATTGAAAGAAATAATTTGTTCAATAGACCACTAAATATAATGGCTTTAAAAGAAAATTGTTGTTGATAAAAAGCATATAATTTATTAAATATTAGAGAATCAATTAGAAAACTTTCGCACGATTCGTAAAGGACGAACGTTAATAACATCAAACATATAATAATTTTTTAAAATTTAAAGTAAATAAACTGCGCAAAATTTACTTTTGACTGCTTTTTGCCCTTGTTTTACGTCACAATTGAATTTTGTCAACACAAAACGTCTTTTTTTAAGATTGTTTTTGTTATAACACATAATTTTTTTCGACACGTATAAAAAGTAAAAATGTGTATTACAATGTATTTTCGAGTGCTTTTTTTCATTTTTATACAGTGTAGTCGATACAAAGTTTTTCCTCCTGAAGAGTTCTGTCCATTTGTCATAATAAATTTTCTAAAAACTTTAGAATTGAAGAAGGATCAAAGAGAAAACTTTCGAACGATTCCTCAGGGATCAATATCTTCAACCGGTAATAACAACTAAAATGAGTATTTATGAAAACGTGCATTTAAGTGCTGTTTTACTCGGCATTTGGCATTCTATCGAAATAAAACGTCAATTTTTGCCTCTCGATAATTGCTTTTGTCTTCTATTTGGCAGAATAAGTAATAAGTATTGTAACAAATTAAATTAAGTACTGGTTGTTAAAAAGTACTTTTGAGGGCCTCTTTTTTTCCTCTGCAATTGAAACTGAGTCCAAACAAAACGTCAATATGTTTCTTTTGAAGATGGTTTTTGTTTTGTATTTGACAAAATAAGTTAATTCAGAAATAGTGTTACTGCATGTTAAAATTTTAGAGGACAAAAATGAGAAACTGTCCAACGATTCGTCAGGGACAAGATAACTTTAAAGGTATTGAAACAAATTAAATTAAGTACTGGTTGTTAAATCGTACTTTTGAGGGCCTTTTCTGTATTTTTTTACTCTACAATTGACATTCAGTCAAAACAAAACTTCAATATTTGTCTTTTGAAGATGGTTTTTGTTTTGTATTTGGCAAAATACATTAATTCAGAAATAGTGTTACTGCATGTAAAAGTTTTACTGGAAAAATGAGAAAATTGTCGAACGATACGTCAGGGATCAATAACTTTAACCAGATTATAACAATTAAAACAGGGATTGCTTGTGAAAACGTGCACTTAAGTGCTTTTTTTAATATTTTTTACTCGGCATTTGGCACTTCGCCAACAAACAAAAACGACAATTTTTGTCTCTTGATGATTGTTTTTGTTGTCTATTTGGCACAATAAGTAATTTAAAAATATTGTTTCTGTATGTTAAAGTTGTAGAGGACAAATGAGAAACTTGTCGAACGATTCGTCAGGTACCGATAACTTTAGCCAGATTATAAAAATTAAATTAAGTATTGCATGTGAAAACGTACTTTTGAGTGCCTTTTCTGTGGTGTTACTCTACAATTGACATTGAGTCAAAACAAAACGTCAAAATTTGTCTTTTGAAAATTATTTTTGTTTTGTATTTGTGAAAATAAGTTAATTCAGTTCAAATAGTGTTACTGCATGTTAAACTTTTTGAGGACAAATGAGAAAATTGTCGAACGATTCGTCAGGGAACAAGATCACTACCTCTAAACATATAACAAACTAAAATAAGTACTAATTGCTAAAACCTACTTTTGAGTGCCTTTTCTTTGTTTTTTACTCGGCAATTGACATTCAGTCTTTTGAAGATGGTTTTTGTTTTGTATTTGGCAAAATACATTAATTAAGAAATAGTGTTACTGCACGTAAAAGTTTTAGGGTACAAATGAGAAAATTGTCGAACGATGCGTCAGGGATCAATAAATTTACATTACAATTACAATTGAAATATGTATTGTATGTGAAAACGTGCAATTAAGTGATTTTTTGTCTTTTTCATTCGGCATTTGACATTTTGTCGAAACAAAAGTCAATTTTTGTCTTTCGAGGATTTTTGTTTGTTTTGTATTTGGCACAATAGGCAATTCAGATATAGTATTATGGCATGTGAAGACAAATGAGAAAACTGTCGAACGATACGTCAGGGACCGAGATCAATAACTTAAAACATATTATAACAAATTAAAATAAGTACTGGTTGTTAAAACGTACTTTTTTGAGTGTTTTTTTGTTTTTTACTCTAGAATTGACATTGAGTTCAAACAAAACGTCAATATATGTCTTTTGAACATGATTTTTGTTTTGTATTTGTCAAGATACGTTAATTCAGAAATAGTGTTACTGCAGGTTAAAATTTTAGAGGACAAATGAGAAAACTGTCGAACGATACGTCAGGGACCGAGATCAATAACTTAAAACATATAACAAATTAAAATAAGTACTGGTTGTTAAAACGTACTTTTTTGTTTTTTACTCGACAATTGACATTCCGTCAAAACAACCTTTCAATGTCTTTTGAAGATGTTAAAGATGACAGATGAGAAAACGATACGAATGTCAGGGTCTCAATAACTTACAGATTATGACAATTTAAAGTATAGAGATTGGTTCTGGTATTGTTTTGGTATTGTATAACTAACAATGTTAGTGAATACAAAGTTGAAACGATCAGTAAAATGACGTCAGGCAATTTTGGGAAAATTTTTTGAACAAATAAGACTGAATTTTTTTTCTTTTTAAATTTTGCTATGAGAGAGGTAAACACTGCTCAAATGTGTCCCTGATCTTTATTTGATTTTTTCTATTGTCTGATGGAAATCAACTCGGACCTGTATCGGGACAAAGTAACGGTTCGTGTTTGTTAGTTTTTGTGTAAAAGTGCCGTGGAAGTCGGCTCGATGGTATGGATCGATGAAAAGCGGCCGTAACCTTGTCCTAGGTCGTTTTCAGCCGGTCGGAACATCCGTCAATCCGGGCCGGTACCGAAACTGGAGTCAAATCTCAAAAGAAACTAACCTTAAGTCTCCTGAGTTTTCCATCCCTGGCTGCATTGTAGACCACGTTCTTGAAATCCATTTTGGCATATTAGGCTAGCACAGAACTGGGTGTCGTTATCTTGTTTTTCCTTCCTGCCGCGGGCTTTTGTGTCAACGTTACGACTATTATTAAATCCCTATACTAATCCCCCTTTAGTAGTAAAATAAAATGAAAAAAAAAAGGCTAAAAAACGAAAATAAAACCTTCCGGGTGGTTTATAAACTCGTTAAAACCTCCTTTTCTCTCGAATAGACGGGAAACGTCACGTCGCGTGCAGAGAAAAGTGCGAGGGGGCTGGTTTTTGGGTATCGGCGGGATCTAGGCTTGGAAGAAGCCGTCACAACTGGAAGATCATTCACTTCTTCGACGGGAGACTGAACGACCTAGCCGGTCCGTGTGGCGAAAGCGACTGGGAGGCGAACGGGGAAGAGGCACGGGACACGGATAGAGACCACCTCCGCCGTTCCGGGTTCCCCTTCCAGCCGGGCGTCCGCCGCTTGGCACCGCCACCGACCGCCGCGCCCGCTCACCCGCAGACACGCTCATCCGCTCCACCAGCCGCCAACGACTCGGTTCCGGCCTCTTTTCACCTTTGTTTTCTTTCATCTCGTATAAAATTATATAAACACACCCGGACGCACGGAATCATCACGTATATTTCCAGCCTTAAACAAATTTTCGATTTTTGCGTCACGTTTATAAAAACATTTAAAAAATTTACAATGACGTGCACAGGGTTGTCACACGTGAAATGTCCTTTTTTAACAGGAAGCAAACGAAAAAAAAGAAGAAATTATTCAAAGGATTTACCATTTTCTTCTGTACAATTCTATCAACAACTGAGTTTTCTAAACCTAATCTCAAATTGAGTCAGGAAAATAGACATTTTTCTCTCACTCTCTCGCCCCTTTGCTCACGTTAAAGCCAACACACACACACACACACACACACGCACGCACGCGCACACACACACACACACACACACACGCACACACACACACACACACACACACACAGAAGCATTCTCTCTTTCGTTTTCTCATCCTCTCTCACTTTTTCTCCCACCCTCACATTTCTCTCACTCACTCACTCACTCACCCACTTACTCATTTTTGCTCTCTCTCTCACCATAGATAATGTTAACGCTAACAAACAAACACATTTCAAATTTTCTCTTCTGTTTTCTCATCCTCTCTCACTCTCTCTCAATAAGATATTTTTATTTTATGTCTGATCCGACCATAAATAAATATAATAATTGTAATTGTACTTTAAGTGTACGGAAGGTACCAGAGACCTAACTTTTGCGTGTATTTTAATAAATACATAAATCACTTGTCGATCTCTCTCTCTCTCTCTCTCTCTCTCTCTCTCTCAATTGTTTATTATTATTTTATGTCTGATGCGACTATAAACAAATATTATAATTGTAATTACGCTTTAAGTGAAAGAAAGGTCCTAAAAGACCTAACTTTTGCATGGATTTTAATAAATCAATCAATCACTTTTTCGATCTTGATCTCTCTCTCTCTATCTATCTATTCATCTATCTCTTTCGTTTTCTCATCCTCTCTCACATTTTTTATTTTATGACTGATGCGACTGTAACCAAATATTATAATTCTAATTATACTTTAAGTGTAAGGAAAGTCCTAGAGATCTAAATTTAGCGTGTATTGTAATAAATCAATCAATCACTTTTTTGATCTTGATCTCTCTCTCCCTCTATGTATCTATCTATCTATCTCTTTCATTATCTATCTATCCATCTTTCTCGTTTTACCATTCTCTCTCTCTCCCTCTCTCTTCTCTCTCTCTCTCTCTCTCTCTCTCTCTCTCTCTCTCTCTCTCTCTCTCTCTCTCTCTCTCTCTCTCATTTGTTTATTTTTATGTTATGTCTGATGCGACTATAAAAAAATATTATAATTCTAATTACACTTTAAGTGTAAGGAAAGTCCTATAGACCTAACTTTTGCGTGTATTTTAATAAATCATCAATCAATTTTTCGATCTCTCCCTCTCCCATCCTCTCCTCATCCTTCCCTCTCCGTACCACTCTCAATTATTCTCCTCTTTTTCTCTAATTCTCGTTTTAATACTTTAAATTTTAAAAAAAACCATACAAATTCCTATAAAATTATTTACTTTTTAGGCATGATTTTTTATTTATTTTTAGGTTTACGTCTTATAAATGAGTAGATAGAGCGAATAAAGAAAGACCAATACATTCGCATTACACACAAGAATTTGTTTGTTATTACATTTCATTGGCATTTATAAATATATATTGATAATTTTATTCTGTCTTGAAGTAAGTAATTCTTGTCTCCAGCATATGCACTACAACTATAATCACTATGTAATCACCATACCCGTAGCAATTAAATTTCAATTTTTTTGCAACAAAAAATTCATGTTTATTTTAATTTATATGCTTGTTTTTATCAATTTTCTTATCAACTAGTCGCCTTTTTTAAAGCATTAATCGCGGAAAAAAAGACAAGAATTTTTTTGAGTGTTTTTCTTCAGCTTGTTGATAGCAAATTCGATAAATTATCTATATACAAATTAGGTTTACGTATATTGTTCTTAAGTAATTGTATATAAATTATTTTAGAAAACAAATTAATTAACCCTTGACTGGATCAATGTAATAAAAGGAATTTTTGATATGTAAATTTGATAATATAATTGATAAACTATTGTAGTGCGATTATTTGAAATTTTTAAAAATTTATCATTTCTAGATGTAAAATTAGTACAAAATTTCTTAAGTTTGTTATTGTTTGTTTTACCGATCAGAAATGGAATATATTAGCTATTTCCGGTATTCTGGAAGGTTGGTCGTTTGAGTCGGGTTTTTAAGATTGGCTTTATTTGTGAAACCAAAATATATTTTATTTGGTTCATCTAGAGAAATCTGCTGTTACAAACTTTAGGCATCTAGATCATAGTGTTAAGTTGAATCCCTGAAGAACACAGTTCAGAGTAGTTGTACTTACGTTAAGACCCTTGACGTTTACTGAGGCTTGTTCATAAACAAATTTAAGTGCCTTAACGCAAAAATACGGGCAAAATTGACAAATCAATAAAATATGTGTAACGACAGTCCACCAGTTTTCTCATTGAGAGGTGAAAAAAAAAATAGACGTCACAAACATTGACTAACATACAGACGTCATTATTTTAAAGAATCTGTTTTGGCATGTGACCAGACGGCTGATCGACATTGACTGACATACATGATGCATGGTTTGTCACATCTTATTAACAGGCAAATAGATCGCTCAGTGTTGGGACGTTATAGCAGAAAAATGCAAACCTCTTGACGTAACAGCTCTTGACATTCATTCAGGTCGTGAAAGACCCAAGAATCTTTTCAACATTTCCAATTTTAAGTGCCATTCCACAAGTGTCTGCCGAACTTCTCGGTTTGATGGGGATTGATGTACTTCTTTCACGGGATTGGCTTTCCTGGGCCGTATCCCCTGAAGAGGACTTTCCAAACCAGCGAAAAAGATTTCATTAGAACTCCATGCACGAAAAATTCACTACTTTTCCTTTCATCTTGGACACTGGAATGGCCAAATTTGAATAAATACAAATGCCTAGTACTGTTATTAAATAAAAAATTGACATGAGTTTTTTCTGGGAGGAACAGGAATCTTTAATATATATCGTAACTAAGTAAATCGATGTATGCGATATGCTTGTTGTAAGTCCCTTTTAGGAATAACCCCCCCCCCCAAGAAACAACGCACAGGAAAGAATAAATAAGCTTTCCAAAAATATGAATTTCTAATTTATTCACTACTTTTCGTGGTACGCTTGACCTATTAATATCATTCAATTAATGAAGGTTTTTAGTTGAGATAAAAAAAGTCACTGTCACGAGCGGGATTCGAACCCACGACCTTCGGCTTGTTACGCCGCTACTCTACCACTTGAGCTGTCGTGAACTTATCGGGTTGTCCGGAAAATAATGCAGGATTTTAAGTTTTCATTAAAAAAAATCTATATAAAATATTCTGTTTACGTTTACAGGATTACNTGGGAAATTATTTTGATTAAAGAACATTGCTTTAAAGTAACTAGTTTCTTTTTTTTTGTTTAATACCAAAATCCTGCATTATTTTCCGGACAACCCAATAGTAAAAATGGCGAAAAGGAAGGAAAATTCAAAAGGTGGGGTTGAAATGGAAAGTTAGCGCCTGAGTGGAGCAAAGTCACGATCGCTCAAGTGGTACAGTAGCGGCGTATCAAGCCGAAGGTCGTGGGTTCGAATCCCGCTCGTGGCACTGACTGTTTTATCTGAACTAAAAACCTTAATTAATTGAACTTCTAATTTATATTCGTCTAGTTTTGAAAGGAAAAGAGAAATCTTTAGAACAGCCAATGCCTTGTTACATCTTATATACTTTGTAATGGTGAATCTCAACAATAAAAAAACTAAATATAAGATAAGCTAAATAATATATTTAAAAAAAAAGAGGCCTCTTTTTGGCATGAAACAAACGAAAAATTAACAATGTTGGAGAAATTCTTTTTCTAGCACAACAGTAATCTTTTACCAGGCAATGTTCAGAGACAAAACTTTAAACAAAATACAAAATTAACCGAAATGAATCGCAAAGATATAAGTACCTTAAATCTTCCACTATGGCACAAAACTGTAAAATTAAAGACGTCTTTCTGCCATTGCACTCCTTTCCGGATAGCCGCTTATCTACGCTTTTTCCAATGTGTTTGCGATGATCGTCCCCTCTCTTCCACAGTGCAGATTCCTTTCTTCCGAACGATCATCACAACTTTAGTTTTTATAATTTATGGGGGTCGTTACTGGTTGCTGCATCGTTTTCATCTGGTTCTTAAGCAAGGTCTGAACGGGAGGTTCGGACTGGGCAACCGGCACAGCCGGGGTGTTCTTCATGTATTGTTTCAGATTTTCCATTGACGACTTGATTTATTCCGACCGTAGTATCCAACTACAGGTCCTTGTGGTGCTTCAGGTTGTTGATTATCATTCTGCTCTCCATCCGTTTCTTGATCGAACATTCCGACCTGGCAATGTCACTTCAATATCCTCATCCGAAAGCATATCCTGGTAGCTCAATATATTTCTTGCGGTTCTGCGGTGCTTTGCATAATCGTCTGATTGAATATCCTCATCCTTAGGCCATCGTTGGAGATGTCACCCGAAACTTGAACAACACCGTCGCCAAGATTAGCTTGAGAATCGACTTTAGAGATTTTCGTGTGACAGTCCCGAAAGCTTAGCTATTTGATCCGCTGATGAATATGACGTTGGCCTATCACAGCTACAGTCTTCCTGTTCTGTGTATCCAGTCCACTATGGATGAATTGTTATAAAACCGATGAAGGTGGGATGACGGTTGAATGCCGAATGAATTCCCTCTTGATGTACGGAGGACTTAGCGGTCTTTCTGTCTCCATTTCAGTTCATGTTGGTAAAT